AGAGTAAAGTTCCGTAATACCTGCGTCACATCCAGCGGTGGTGAATTTAAGGCTGCCGACAGATTCCCAGAAGAGTACTTGTGATATCGATCCCTGAGGCACATATATTGAAAAATAACGGTTTGATATTAGGTGAAACATTGACGGGACACAAATAAAAACAAGGAGACTACCAGCTTGGGAAAAACGCCGTTGGGTGTCACAATAACGAGACACGAATAATGCGGCACAGACTGTTATATGGGAGGTGGGACTACAAAACTGCCGTAACAACGTGAGAACTGAGTTAATGTGAAATGAAAGTAAAATAAAGACCAAAACGTGCACCCTTGAATATGGCTGGTACATATTTAGTGTCTGTCACAGTATTGATACTCGCGAAAAAGCACGCAGCTATGTAAATTATGATTGCTGTGGACCATATAAAAGGTACTAAACCCATGAAACATCTTACAATCAATCATGTTGTGCCGGAGTTTCCCCGAGAAGCACATGAAACAAGCTGTCTAATTCAAATTTCAAAATTAAAACTGCAGGTAGTGAAAAGTCTAGCTACAGATCCTTCGCTTTCAGGTTTTAGGACTCAGTTTCTCCACTCACTGGCACTCCCTCGGTGGTCTTAGAGTTTTTCGTGTTTTTCGTCTTAATAGCTTTGAAGGTAGCGGTCGTCTGTGTGAAAACATCTCTCCTGGGAATTATAGCTTGGAGCAGCAGCGAAGCCGCTGATAAGATCTATTAACCCTTTCGCCATTCCTTTTTTCGTGGTCACCTGCAAGTAAGCATCAGGCGTCACTTAAAGGTGGTGCGAGCATTGAATCGAACGGAGAATGAAAAAAGGGGAGTGAAAAGTCCTTAAAGAAGGATGAAAGCTACTGGTTGCAGAAGCCACGACCATAAGAATTAATGGTAAAATATACGTTTACCTGATGTTACGTGGAACCATGAAGACGGGTCAAAAACGTCGACTGCTTGCAACGCGAACTCGGAATACTGCGCTACGATGGTGCCCCCCTTGACGAAAAAAAGACTGTAAACGGTCTGAGCTCAGATAATATATGTACCGAAAAGTGATGTCCCGTTGTTCGTTTCACAACATGCAGATTCTTTTGGCGTTGTGATGGTGTTTTTCGTTGCCAACATTCTGTACCACTCATGGCCGCTAAATCTTGCAGATTTTTAACAAATATCAGTGTGATTAAGCCTATAAACTAGCTTATCTCACGTCAAATTCATAACATGAGGTCAAAATATTTATTAATTTAATCACCGTTTTTCCACCAGTAATGCGGAGAAGAGGTAGGTCATATCAAAAATACCGAAGTGGCAGAATACGGTGATGGACGAGCATACGTCCAGTTGCCACCGGCAAGCATTCGTGACAAGCCATCTGTGCTCATAGACAATGTTTGCGTACAGGAAGTGACGTTTTATTGTCCATTTCAAATTCAACGCGTGCTTCCGGTGTTATGATGAAGCTTGTTGTTCTGTCTTCAGCACCAAGGACCGCATACAATTTGTGCTTTTGCAGTTCTTAGTTTGAATAAACCTGTATATAAGTTCCCACCATCTGAGGTTCATAATATGAGAACAAAACTTTTTTTATTTCACATTAAAAGAGGAATTCTGCATGAACAAACCTCTCATTTTGCAGACTATAGACACTTGAAATTTGACGTGCCTGGAAAATTGCGGACTGCTATTCCATTGCGTTTTCACACCACAATAAAGTGATGAAGAAGCAAAAGATTTCTGGTTAAATTCTTACTCGGGAACAAAACTACCACCAAAAGTGCATGTTTAATCTTACTGATATTAACGAGGATAACCGAGAATGAGAACCATTCACGAAGGTCCCACTGGATGGTCACCGTGGAGTTATGATCTTCCACAAATAAATCCGACGAGTATGCAACGACTTCGCAGTAGAGGCTAGCTACAACTTGGGCATACCTGCACAACATAACGCGGGCTTTGAGAAGGCGTGTTCCCACATACAAAGGCCTATCTTTGACGTTGCAGTAAAGCAGCCGGATCTTTTTTGAGAAAGGGGAAAGACGTGCGACAAACAGCTGGTCTGGTGGGGGCACAGCTGCGATTTACTTCAAACGTGTAAAGCTTAAATCAATGCTAAATGGCCACTAATGGCCAGTGAAGGTGCGTCCTAAATGTTGGTTACCTCCTCTCTTAAACATGTTTGACTGAGTGCGTTATCAGAGGTGCATGCTGCAGATAAAAAATATGTGTCGCATCAAGCTGAATTACTGCACCGTCAGACACTTAAATGGGATGGCGTTAACTGGGTAAACTGCAGCTATGAGCTTCAGCTGATCCTTGAGTGGTGCATCTGTGTTGCGTGTCATGAAGCATTTAATTTTAATAATCTGGCTGTATATTTTGTTCACCTTAACGTCAGTGCTTAGGCGGGATCTACTGACAGTGTTCACTTCAAGTTTCACCACAACTGCAGCTCGCCCAACCTCACATCCTTCTACTTCACACGTACCTTTGTTTTTAGTTTCAGCCGTCTCACATTCTTGCCATCACAACTGTCGTATTACGATCAGTTAACTCTGAGAACTGTGGTCTCTGTGAGTATTTAAATGGAAGTATCCTCAGTGGAGTTGGGCGGTGTGCATACGCCCTGTTAAGCGTGTTAGTGCGATCGCGTAAAACACTGACGTCTTACAATTTGCGTCGTCTTTATTTTCACACCTAGCTTTTAGTGTTCCTTTCAATCACTTGCCACCCTGTGACACAAGTAGGGAAATGCGCTCACTGCCAATTGCCTTTTCTTATTTTGCACAAACATTTGTTTGTTCTCACACAGGTACATTTAAGTGAAATTTTGCTTTTTGTAGAGTTGGACCAACTTGCTGGTTGAGCCCATAAGACATAATTAATCAGGAAATTTTTGGTCTCGGTAAATTATGTGGCGTGCATGTTATCATCTCTATGTCTGTATTAAAGGTGAATTAAGCTTAATTACGCATTTCGCACTTGTCCCACATTCCTTTCCTCGCAGAATCGCGCATGAAACTTGTCCTCGTGAAAAATTAACATATGCTGGATTTCCAGCTATCCATTTTCTCAATGTATTTTGTACATTAACTCTACTCATATAAACCTGCTGATTACCTTTGAGCAGTAAAGCTATGTCACCCGAAATTGTCAAGTTGGTTCAAGTACAAAATCACATCCATGAACCGGCATTTACTTGTACTCGCGAGGATAAATTATGATTGTTAAAGTAATATATTTTACTTTCCATGATTTCGGCAATTCAACAGAAATGCTCGTGCAGCACTCCCTAGCCTCCCTATGCAGTGATAAAGCTTTATACCTGAAAAAAATGTGCCCCAGTGATGTGACCAAAAGCATGAACACGAATTTTCCCGTCTTAATCCCGTGAACTTATGCTCTTTTTGCTATTAAAATGTTCCAACTCCATCGCCGTTTGCCATAACCTTGCTTTGGACCCTTCATATTACCTGAATTATATGTGTATATGAAAGCTTGAACGATGACCTTTATATTTCAACTTTTTGATGGTGTTGCAGTCTCTCGATAAATGGACTAGATGGCATGATAAAAGGTGTATGGCACAACGAAAAAGTATGTGCAGAATTTAAGTGCCAATATATATTTAGAATGGCCATGGGTATTAGCGGTCCCTTCTAAAATCCAGTAACATCCATTTTGTCCTCTAACTGATCTGATACCTGCTAGATATTTCGTGTTCTTGTTCGCGAAGCTTTGGTACAACATGATTGATTGTAAGATGCTTCATAGGTTTAGTGACTTTTATAAAGTTCATGGCAACCTCGTTCCACAAAATGGCACGCTGTATTCACCAGTATGGATACTATGACAGGCACTAAATGTGGATCAGCAATATTCCAGGAGGTAAGTTTCGGCCCCTACTCCATTTTCATTCCGCAATAACTCAGTCGTTGCGCTGTTACGACAGTTTTGTAATCCTAATCCCCATATTGCACTTTGTACCGCAATATTCTCATTTCATTGTTTGTATATGGGGTGTACTGCATTAGATGTGAGTGGAAAACAGTATGCATTAAGTGCATTATGATGATGGGGGGAACCAGTTCTCACACCCCTATAAGCGATCATAAACCCATCAGTGTAGGAAGAACTGGAAGACTATAATAACTCCACTTCATATGCTTAGAGTTCGAAGTATGCTCTCATTAGCCCAGAACGCACAGACAGTGGCTAAGCGGGTGATGGACTCACCGTTTGTCAGTAAGTTATTAAGTGAGGAGCGGAAAAGTGTCAACGAACCTGCCTTACTTCTGGAAGCGTCTTCCAAATGTGTGAGAACCTATTGAAGAAACGACTACTTCTCAGGCTCGTAGTGTTACATACTTTATCATTAAACCACATGGATGGTTTATGACCTGACTGGCGCGCTACTGTATGCCAGTAATGCCAGCATGTGCTATTTCCTACCTTCAAATACCTCTGACACTTACTAGCGCTGTATGTACAAATTTCCTTTCTTCCTTTTTCAACTATACAGAATCAGCTTGTTCCTTTCCTTTTACTAGTTGGTGATCAATAATTACTTCTGTAAAGACGGCTGCAGGCATAAGCGGACATTGCATACAGGATATTGATTGTACTAACAACTTTACTGCTACTTCCTTAACCCAGTTGATTGACTATAAGTAGAATTAATACACGGACAAGCCTAGCTTTCACAGATAAAATATGAGGAGCCGAAGAATCTTCAGCACCCAGGAGTAATTATATCGAAACGAAAACAGCATATCTACGCTGTAACAGTTAAGAAAATGCTAGTTTACTACATTTCCTCAAACGCATTGGATATTGAACGGATTTGATCTGTTTTCTGGTCCTACTATTCACGCTATCTTTTGACTACACCTAATTAATTTTTTTCAACAACAAAGTAGTGCTTATACTTTGTGTTGTAATGCATGAGATTGTACAATGTAAACCTACTGTTGTTTGTGTGCATCGGTCGATAACGGCCTTTGGGAACACATTCCGAAACGCTCCCCTCTATGTTTTTCATTTCCGTGTTTTGTCTCTTGTTTTCCATCTTTTTCCATGCTTTAGTGGACAGGATTACTAAAATCCTAAACCCATTGTTACATGAACTATCTGAAGTTCAGCATTCAAAGAAAAAGTATGTCCAGAGACAACATTTTGTGTGGCAAAATTCGTGCATATCATTTGTGCACGCTTTGGTATCTGGCCTCTGGTCTATTTCAACGTAAGCTTCTGACCTATAACTTGGAAAATCTAAAGGTTTTACTTTGAGCCTGATTCTCTGACCGACCTTATAAATGGATCCACAAGGTATTCAGTCGCACTTGTGTCCTACTCCCTTGGTAATTGTTTTTTTTCCACTTTACATTCTTTAGGTTACTTTATTTTTGACTCAGTACACATGGCTGTTCTGCATCCTTATCGTTCTACTGTCGAGTTACTTGTGCATCACTTCATTGTAAGCAGTAATATGTTATATCGTTATTCCTAGATATTTATTTGTTTTTCATCTGCCTTACTTTCAGGGAAATATATCGGATATGCAGTTGTCTCACTTCTTCCTGAAGTCAACTCCATCTTCTTACATCTACGAAGGGTGATGAATTACTTACGTATACCCAAAGATAACCGCTTCTTCCGTGCGACCTGTCTACTGAATATTGGTGAGCTTTCGTCTTAACTTTGTATCCAATATCTTTTTAACGAGCTTGTGTAAACTGGTTGATTTCTTCGCGCTTGCTTCTTGGTCTTGCGGAACGGCTCTAGATCTTTGGCGGATTCCGATGCAGTAGGTCCAGCCACTCGTTTGCTGTAGCTCTGATTTACAGAATAGGAAGTTAAGTGTTGGTTTGTTTGCCTTGGACTATGGTGCAGTTGGTTTCTTCAGATGTCGAGTTGCCAGACAGTTGTTAGGACTGCTCGCTAGAGAGGGTTGGGGATAGTGAAGAGAAAACCTAGGAAGTGTTTGTGTGAGTAAAAGAAAAGAGGAAAAGTGAACTAATGGAGTAATCTACTTACACCCAAGTAAGGTGAGTAGGGGTGCAAAGGTATGAAGAACTTAGGTAAGTGAGGCTAACTTATGGCAAGTAGAAGGGGTGAAAAGGGCTTAAATGGTTACAATAGAAAAAAAACTGGTTGGGGTGGCTTGACACCACTTCGTGTTCCAGCTATGCGTGGGTAGACCGTGAGTCTCTGCATGACTGTCCAGCCTCTTCTTGAAGCTTTCAACAGTTGGGGGGGAGACCACCTCTGCTGGTAGTGCGTTCCAGTACCCACAGACTCGGAGGGAGAAGAACTGTGAACGCACATGCGTTTTTGACCTCTGGTGTGCTATTCTATTGGGGTTTCCTCGAGGATCTCCGTAGTGGCCACTCGGTAGGACTCCTCTGTTTGGGTTACTCATTATTTTGTAAGCCATTATTAAGTCGCCACGTATCCTTCGATAGCTAAGGGAGTATAGACCTAGGTCTTTGAGTCTATCCTCATATGGTTTTCGTTGCATTCCAACAACCTCTTTTGTGGCTCGCCTCTGGACTTTCTCCAGTAAGTTCGCGCCTCTTTTCAGCTGTGGTGGAGCGAAGACGTTATGGACCTCTAAGTGGGGCCGTATGTAAGTCTTGTAGAGCTTCAGAAAGAGTTCTGGGTGAGGGCACCCAGTTGTCTACGCACAAAGTGTAGTACCCCATATACTTTTGAGACATCACCTGGGTAATTGGAACTGGTGTCCAGTTTCTCCGTCACCGTTAGACCCAGGTCTTTTTCTACTGTGGTATGGGATAGACGTGAACCACAGAGATAGTAGGATGTTTTCTGGGGATCAGGAGTGCGGAAAAACATGGACCGGCACTTATCCAGATTAAATGCCAGTTCGTTATTAGTTCCCCATTCCTCTAGTGTTCTGAGGTCCTTCTGTAATGCCATAGATTCCGCCTCGCAAGTTATTGCCCTCCATAACTTGACATCATCAGCGTATAGGATAATCGGGGAGCTGATATGTTGCGGCAAGTCATTTACGAACAGTAGGAACAACAGTGGGCCCAAGATTGCTCCTTGTGAGACACCGGATGAGGATGTTCTCCAAGTTGAGTAGACCCTGTTGACTTTCGTGCAGAACTCCCTGTTGTCTAAGTAGTTCTGCAGCCACGATAGCACCTGGCTGCGAATACCTAACCCAGCTATCTTATGTATTAGGATATGGTGTGAGACGGTGTCAAAGGCTTTGGCGAAGTCCAGAAAAATTACGTGGACAGGGACCTTGAGATCCCAGCATGCTGTCCAGTGATCATGGGCCGTCAGGAGGTTGGAGGCACAGGACCTACCCTTCCGGAAGCCATGTTGAGCGTCACTGAGTGCCCGCTTGGTGTCCAGATATTCTCTGATACGGTCGTCCATCACACTTTCCATTACTTTTGATATTACTGGTAGAAGTGCTATGGGTCTATAACAGTTGGGATTCTGTCTGTCTCCTCCTTTGAAGATGGGAGAAAGGATAGCCCGTTTCCACTCTCGTGGGAGCTTTCGCTCATCCAAGGAGTGTTGGAAGAGGTTGCAGAGTGGGCCACTTAGGGTACTTGCACATTCTTTCAACACAGATGGGCGAATGTCGTCGCACCCTGGGGATTTTCCCGCGCTTAACTTTAAAAGCTTGTCGAGAACAACAGCGCGAGTTATCTGTATTTCGTGTAACTCAGTAGCATCGGGTAACGTTGGGGCTGTTCGTGCAATTGGTATGCGCACTTTCTTGATGGAATGTTGAGCTGTGTGTCAAATGTGGTGCTCAGCATTTCAGCAATCTCCTGTCCAGAGAGGTTTTCTCCGTTCGGACCTTTTATGACACATGCTCTTCGGCTTGTCGATTTTCTTTTGCCATGAATCGGTAAAGGTTTTTAGGGTTTACCTTTTGGCGAGGTTGGACTGGAACGACCTCCTGTCTCCCCGCACCCTTATGTTGCTTCGATTCCGTAGAGTCATGTATGCGTCATGGTCGTCCTGTTCTCTGGAGAGTCTCCATGTGTGCCATGCCCTTCTCTTGGCTTTTAGAAGGCGCTCAGTGCACCGTTTTAGCCATGACGTTCGCTTTCTGGTTGTTACCGCCAAAGGGACGTTTTGCGAGACGGCCGCCTTAATGATATCTTTTACCAGTTCCCAGTGCTGGTCGATCGATAAGGAACACCAATCCACTGGCCACGAAGCTGTTGAAAGGCTCTTGTTCATACCTTCGTAATTTGCCTTGTTGTAACATAGGTAAGGGCGAGGTCCCTCCCATGATAGCTCTTCACTAATTACCAGGTCGAACATTACCGTAGCGTGATCGCTACTTCCAAGAGGGGTTTGTACCTGAACGTTTTCAACCAGAAGGGGATCACTAGTCAGTAGGTAATCCAGTTAGATGGTTTACCATCTGACCCCCAGCGGGTGTTGTCGCTGATTTTTTCCTGCAGTCCAGCCATTTGGATGGCGTTTAGCAGGTTACAGTCGAACTTCCGGCTCGGGGTAGTGCCACCTTGCTCTAGGCTGAGGGTTGGAGCGTTGAAGTCGCCAGCTATTAAAATCTGGTCGTACCCTATAGTTGACACTGTGGATATTGCTTGGAGTAGTTTTTGGTTGTGTTCCAAGTTGCTATTAGGGGACCTATAGATTCCTCCAACTAGGAATTTGGTGTGTTTGACCGTGAAGTGGCACCAGATAGAGTCTGGGAGCTCTGTCAGTGCCGTGTCAGTGGTTTGTTCACTTCTGAACCACTTGTTCACGTATATTGCAACCCCCTTCCGTCCCTATGTTCTCTGTCTCTCCTGAACAGAATCATATCATCTATGTTAACTTCGGTGTCAATTATGTCTGGTGACAACCACGTTTCTGTCAGGATCATGGTTTTCTGGGCGAGGTCGAGACAGAGGGATCGGAGCTCTGGCATTTCACTTCGGAGTCCTCTCACGTTGCTGTAGAGACACTTGGAGGTGTTTCTCGTAACGTGAGATGTCTCTGAGTTTACTAGTGGCACTGGTTTGGTCTGACTCATAGATGATCGTCGACTTAGCTTTTTCTCATCCCAGAACTTCCAACGCCTATTTTAGTCATACTCTTTGAATTTACCGTAGCATATCTCATCCACGGACTTGCTGCCAGCATGCGACATCCTGAAAGCATTCAAATATTTGTCGGTTTAATATTCGTGATGTATATTCATTCAATCTTCTAAAGTTTTTACGAAGGGATTATATTACACCGTAGTGACCTATCACTTGATATGAATGTGGACAATAAATTACGTCTGGAACGTTATCCAGTAAATAATACTGTTTCACTGTTTAACATTCCTGATAAACGGGCTAAAATGGAGTTACAGTACCACAATGCCCAAGTTTTACTCTTATCTTGTGGCTCATTGGTTTAAGATGACTGAACCGATAGGTTATGGGTTCTAACACCGTTCCATCTACCGAGGTTTGAGCAGCCCGGTAGTATCACTAACTGTCACAATAGGTGTGGCTCATTGCCTGCTGCATGAGTATGCACAAGGTTGATGAGTACATTTTGTTTTCTTCCGATCGATTGTATATTTTGCAGAAAAACTAGTAGCTGGTCCTCTGGGGTTTTAGTGTTAACTTACAATGACTTTAAGTTCTTTGCCCTCCGAAACCCTGTTTTGATATTGTAATAATCGTTTGGCGGTGTTGATCATTGTTGCCATTATGTATGCCTACTCGTTTTCATCTCCAGGGACCATATAGTGGGCCATTCGATTATTTCATTTTGCAGTTTCCCGTAAGAGCAAGCTGTCCAAATCACTGTAAAGTTAGACCCGTCATTAAGGTTGTTAATCTGACTACCGAGAGTGAGTTGTGTCATCAAGGTGAACCGCTACCTACATATGCGTGGACTTGGCTGTACTGGTAATAAATTGTGAATAAACTGAGGATATTCCAAACAAGCTTTGCACATTGCCAGAAACGTATTTAAATCTAGCAGTTCCTTACGTTTACTTTTGTTTATTTGGCCCAAAGTAAGGAGGTAGCACTTCCTAAGATGATGGTTGACCTAGGCGACTACCTTGTTGCATGTTTCAGACATCAGAAACTAAGTGTTGCTAAGTGGTCACCCATATTCATTGCTTAGAATGATCAGTTAGATCGAATAAGGTTGCAAAGTCACATCACTTTACCGCTGATGAAATTCCTGAGGTGGTTCTAATGATATCTGCAGTGTCGAGCTGTTATTCAAAGAAAGACTATCTGCTCTTATGTATGGTGAGAGCACCGTCGTACTATGTATTACCATACATATCACCCGGTGGTCGATGTTTATAAGTATAGCATTTGCTTCATAGTGTTAAAACACAGAGTTACTTCACGAAATTTGTAGAAGCTTATGACTGCGATGACCATCGATACTTAATAGTTACAAGAAATCGAGGATCTTTTGTCAGAAAAATCATATCCAGTGCTTGTGGAGATGAAATGAATGAAATAAATCTGCGTACGGCAGGCTGAGATAGCATCTATTAGTTCGATACCATTGTTTGTCAGACTGTGAAAGACCGGGTAAGCAAAGCTTCATTGTCACTTTTACATGACCATTTTCAGTTTGCTACATGAAGGGCTTCTGTGTGGTTGGATGTCTCTGTCAACTCAGACTGCCGAACTAAGTTTATTTCACACAGTAACGTCATAAATTTTGTCTTATTGGTGTGAAGTATGTAGGCGACAGACAACTGCTCTGTGTTGAGATGCCATATAGGAAATAGTAAGCTATCTTCTGTCACGTAATAAACTTGTTATTACTGAGATAAAATCTCGCCTTGATAAACTTAAGTACCACATTATCCAGTTGTGTAACTAACGTAAAATTTTCTATCTCATCTGTTTGAAAAGTCACTTTAACTTTTTGTAAGATGACCTAGTCCAAACAACTGTGTGGCGAAAAAGTATTTTAGGTAAGAATACAGACCTCTGCAAGCTTGGCATTTGTTGAAGTTTTCTTAGTCCTACTTGGTTCTGAAGTCTTAAAATAATTGCTCCTACTGCTGCTACTTTATTCTCTAAACTCAGTTTCATTTCATCTTTTATAGGGTTGTAAGTTTTTCTGAACAACATATAATGTTGGAAAAGTATCTGTTTAAAATGATTATTCTTGTTCGACTATATTTTAATCGTCTGGGAGTTGATTTAAGTGACGGATTTCTTTTCACAGGTACATTCATCATATTTCGTTTCATTGTATTATCTTGGATGACTCGCTGGATTGTTATTAATCGTGATCATATTCCTTTTGGATATTATTGCCTTGGATCTGTTGGTCTTGCTGTGTTAATGGTTATGAATATTGTTCTTTTCATCCGAGTGGTTTATGCGGATTTTCTGACAAACAATACAGTCTCCAGTGCAGCCTCATTAGTTGCTGCAGCTGGTGTGGGAACAAGTGCAAATGGAAAACCCCATCTCTCTATGCATTCATCATACATGTCTACACATTAAAAGCATTTGTATGTTGCAAAACGATTTTCAGTTGTTCTTTTCTTTGGTTTTATACACTGTATGAGTTCCTTTTTTCTCTCTAAATTCTAGGTCTAACGCTTTCATAGTCAGTTTGTCTTCTACAAAATTATTTGTCTTTTCACTTATATATGTATAGATCATGTGGCTTTTTCATTTATGCCACTTATTAATATTTATAAACATTTAAAAACTTATCTCAGGTTTTTTTATTCTAAATTTTAAAATTGCAATAGGGTGTTTCTATCACTATCCTAATGATTGAATTCTAAGCTGTTTATTTCCTTACTATATATCAGGGATTTTTTAACACTGATTCACCGTTTTATGTGTGATATTATCATGGTTAATGCAGAAAACAGTTTTTTTTGGTTATCTTAAAGTGTACATTTGAAAGTTATGTCAGGTTTCTGAAGTGGATTAATAAATGTAAATGCATCGTTTTACATGAGAACTGTGAAGATGCATTAGTGTTTATTTTTGTACATGGTGTATTCGAACGCAGAATTTTGATAGGGTTTTTTTCCTTACGGGAATCTGACAGTCGCGTGTAAACTCAACATACATAACTTACCTTCTAAATTGATAACCAATGGTCTTCATCTTGTGTCAAAATTGGATTTGTGAACTGTTTTTGACGATTTAAGCTATAATTGACAGAATATCTGAGCCTTGAATTTCAATCATTTTTCGAAACTTCGCTAAAAGCTACTAAAACCAAACTTCAGTAAATTTTGTAATCTGTGTGTGATAGAGCTCAGAAGGGATGATAACATGTTAGAATATTGCCGTAATCTAAGCACTAGGGTGTTAGAAATGGTCTAGGGATATCGCATCTACAGTGACGCTTACTCGCTAAATAAAGAAGCTAAGTGATGCCTATTGAGTAGCCTGCACGTCACTGATTATCCTTTCGTCTGTCATCTCCAAAGTAAGGATGAGGTATGTTCATCATATCAAGCCTTGATTCTGGCAGATGTATTGAACTCCAACATCCTATGTCATTGTACTAGGTTTCTTGATTTTACAACAAAAAATCCCTTAGTGTTCCTCGTTATTTCTCAAAATCTGGATACAGTTGGGAAAGACGATTATTTTAGGTAGTCAAATTAAATATCAACCCTTCGTATATATATATATATATATATATATATATATATATATATATATATATATATATATATATATATGTCATGTGTTACAACTCAGGACTATATACTTTTGTCCAGGTTAAAGTTTTAATTCACCATCATAGCGCACAAGTCGAGAAAGTTTGATTAATCTTGCATCTTATATTTGAAAGAAATAAGCAACACAGAAGCTTGCATAATTTATTATCCATCTGAGATGCCGGTTCAGCACTGTTAGGTTGACGAGAAGAACTCAGAGAATAACATCAACAGCTATGAGATGACGATAGTGTAAGATATAGAGAGTAAAGGTGGTACTACTTATGTGAGGTGTGAATGCGTTTGTAGCAGTGTGGTCTATTTTGAACTAGATTACTTGGAGATTAACCGTCTACACCCACTATGTTGCTCAGAACGAGGGTCAGAAACTGTCTGATCTGGCACCATTTATTGTTCTGGTCATCCGTCTGTTTTTTTTACAACTTGTTTCTCCTTTAGCTAAATTTGTGCCCTCAGGAGTACAATATGTAAGTACGTGTAATGCACTACCTCAGTCAATTCAGTGTTTTGGAATCATCTGATTTCTTTTTTATTTGATACTGAAGCACATAAGGAAACTTGTATCCACTCTGGGGTGAATATATAGTTATGTTAGTGACATTTTCTGTAGTGTTTTTGTTTCGAAATTGTTATTTTTAGTCATAATATTTTATACTGCCAACTCAGCGTCCTTCAGAACTTCCTTTTCGTCTTATGCATACCTAATGGGTGAATTTCATGATTCTACCCATGTAAATCAGACACATAAGTACCTAACGTGAAATTCATGCAGTTTGTATTGCATATTTGTTGTTTCAGTATATTAGGTGAATCTTAAATAAGTTTGCATTTAGCTGTTGGTTATCGTTTTCTTGTTAATCTTTCCTTTCCTCTGTTCACAAATAAGATCCGTGAACGGATGATACTATATTGCTTCAAGTCTTAAAGCTATGACTTCAGTGTTTCCGACTCTAAAAATTTTCTTCCTTATTCGAAACCGTATTAAGCATGTAAAGCTAACTGAAAATTAGATGTATAAAATTATATGCACATAGACCACCTTAGAATCTTGTTTTGTAAACTGGTCTTCATTTTTATATATGGGGATTGACAGCTCAGCTGAAGAAAGCGCCTGAAGGTACATTGAGTTTTAGTTCTTGTATCTCACTTGGAAAGGAAAATCACTTTAAATCCTGTTGTTACCCACTTTAATAACTGTCCACAAATTGAGTACATTTAAAGAATCATTTTCATTTCATTCACGTACTTTTTAACAGAACAAAGACGAGAAATTATTAAAAATAAAATACTGAAATAATCTCTATTATCATTCACTCTACGCTGATGAGAGGCGATACAAGAGTCTTCTAAATTCTTGAAGTTGTATCTAATAAAACGATATAGCTATATCCCAGAGATTGGTTGTTAGAAGTACCAGTAGTTGTTTCCACTTACTGACTTCATCGGTGATAAAAGTATGTGATTCATTAAAACTCTACAACGGACTGAAGTACATACTTCTTGAGATAACTCTCAATACAACATCAGCATATACTGAGTTGGTCATTTGGCTACTACGAAGACCACCTATAGACATTGGGTTTCATAATGCAGAAATGAAGTGTAAATTGATTCAGTAGCTCAGCAAGAAATTTTATGATTTGTGTATCCAAACTTGTTTTCATAACCCTTAACAACCGTGTTTCATGTTGAAGACAACCATCAAGGTTATGTTCACAAAATGTGTTTGTTTCGTTGTTTATGTGTTTTGATACGCTCATCATATGAATTACTATTCTGTATTCATCTCTGTGTAGGTATCACTTGCTCCTTTTTTGTTAACTGCTAACTCAGTCAGTCATCAATCACTCTAAAGTTCTAAGCGTTTTTGATTATTTTGTTTTGTTCATATTACTCTAGAAGCAAGAGTCACTGATTCAAGATGGTATGATACTCATTATTTAAAACGAAAACATACTCAACACGTGCATGACTGTGTGGTGAGAATTTTATTTATGAATTCATCTACTCAACTCATCGAGTGGTGAAATGCTGAAAAAAACAGAGAGTAATTAGATAAAGCGTAGGAGTTTACGGAAGGACTGCATTACTTTTCTATTAATTCTCAATAAGTAACAAAAATGTACACTATCTGTTGAAAATACTCAACCAGTTTTGAGAATCTTTCTATCTGAACAATGTTGGTGTAAACAAACCGTAGAAATATTCTGTGGAGAGCACTAACTGAACGTAAAAATAATTCGTTTTAATGAAGTATTTTCATAGCAGTTAACTTCATTTATAAGTCTTGAAATAACATAGAAAAGGCAATTTCATAGAATACACAATGTATTTCGAACAATGCGATCACACACATGATTTGGAATGAGGAAGCCTTCAGATTGTTCTAAATACGTTGCGCACATACATTGCACGTCTTATTGTTTTGAGTAAATAAAGCAGTCAAAAAAAGTCAATGAATGGTGGTCGGATTGTTCGTTTACAGGTCAAATCATATGTGGGGAAAAAAGACAATGCGTTAATAACTCTTGACATTAAAATTAAGATAACAAAGTAGGGTTATTATAGCAAGAAATTATTTCTGAATAGATAAAATAGATGTAAACTTATTTGTGGTTATGCCTTACGAAAGATTTGGAAGATGTGAAGAAATTAACCTCGTTGTTCACCTCAATGATCCATTTTATCATTAATAAGGTTGAAGAACTATGACCTATGTCAGCCAGTCTGATATGTTGCTGCAGTAGCTCTACAACGTTCTCCGCAGCTCTCATCTTCGTGTATCAGTGTGTTTTTCGCATTTTAATATGGTCACACATATGTAGACTGAAAAACCCTAAGCTAAGATGCCACTATCGTGTAAATTGTGTGGATTTATGTCATTGACCTTCTTTGGATGACATGTTCTTCGAATGGCTGCTGTAAGTTTGCTTGGTAACCAAACTTTGTCGGTTATTGGTAGAAGGCAAATCGAAATAAAGATTCTTTAGAATTGACTAGACCTTTAGCCTTCTTTGTCCAGCATTTCTGTAGTTATTTAGTGATTTTAATCGTTGTCTAACAATAAATTGATAAAACTGCTTTTCCTCACTTCCGTGTATCTGTTGAACTCGGTTAAATCGGAACCTGACTAATGTCTGCCTATACTCAAATGCACAGAAACCGCAGTTATTCACGTACCTTTTTATGTTAGTCCCTCCTAAATGGTTTGTTTCACTCATTTTTCAAGCCGTTAAGTTGAGAAAATGTCTGGCAATAGTAGCCAGTCATTTTTTTTCTCTCATAATAAAAATATGCTATCGTGGATTATATTCGTTCAATTAGGAATTGGCATGGCATCTGCAACTGCTCCAACACTACAGAATACCACAAACCTTTATCAATCTCATTCAACAACTACATGAAGACGCCAAATGCCAAGCCATTCACAATGGGAAGCTCAGTGATGACTTTGTAGTAGAGACAGGAGTAAGACAAGGCTGCCTACTGTCACCCGTAATCTTCCTGATTGTGGTCGACTGGACTGGATCATGCAACAAACAGTGAGGAGAGAGAAGAGTTGCATATGCTCGCTGGACCGGTGAAAAGAACCTAGAAGATTTGGATTTCGCTGATGACTTGTGTCTAATGTCTTGTGGCACAAACTTGAATATCTACAGGCAAAATCCAAAAAATTGACAGAAGAGGCAGGGCGGCGAAGACGAGACTTCAAGTGAACGTAGAGAAGACAGAGGTGATGATGATACCCAACCAACACCACTATTACCAACAACAAGCTCTAATCACCATCAACGGGAGAAACTTACAAGAAGTAGTCTCTTTCACCTATCTAGGCAGCACTGTTTCAACTATAGGCGACACAGACGAGGGCATCAAAGCCGGGTTCGGAAACACAGCATGACAGACAGCACCAAACAAATTAGACATAACGGTTGTTGCTGGGTGGTGATTTGAGGTAAAATGAAAATATGGGCCGCGGCAGGATTCGAACCAGAGACAACCAAATTTCCGGCCCTATCCTCTGCCAAGTGAGCTACGATACCTGAACGCTTACCAGGTTTTCATTCCACCTTCAATCATTATTCAGCATCAATAGCCTCACATATACATGCATTCATTTCAATGCTTAATTAATTTCCATTTTTATTATGAGAGAAAAAAAATGACTGGCTACTATTGCTAGACATTTTCTCAACTTAACGGCTTGAAAAATGAGTGAAACAAACCATTTAGGAGGGACTAACATAAAAAGGTACGTGAATAACTGCGGTTTCTGTGCATTTGAGTATAGGCAGACATTAGTCAGGTTCCGATTTAACCGAGTTCAACAGATACACGGAAGTGAGGAAAAGCAGTTTTATCAATTTATTGTTAGACAACGATTAAAATCACTAAATAACTACAGAAATGCTGGACAAAGAAGGCTAAAGGTCTAGTCAATTCTAAAGAATCTTTATTTCGATTTGCCTTCTACCAATAACCGACAAAGTTTGGTTACCAAGCAAACTTACAGCAGCCATTC